TCATTACTTATTGTTCTTCTGTACGGGTTGGCTACATGCAATTCGTTGATCCCATATACTTACTTGAAACCATATTCAATATTTATCAGTATGAGTTTCCTCCCATTGGAAATGAAAGGGATCCATATGAAGTTGATGATGAACTTACAATAAGGCCATATTTTGTACTACGACACGAGAGAAAGGGTCGTCCATGATCAACAAGGATTTATTGTGACGAGGATTTGGTCGAACATCGAGAAAAAACTAGACAACCGAAGCTATGCAGTATTTGAAGGAATCCCGGTCACTCGAAGAACAAATGTCCTAATCGATCAAGCCCTCGTATCGATTAATTTATATATCATCAAATCAAATATAATGTTAAAATTTGTTTAAATTATTAATTAAGTTGTAATTATTAATTTGTTTTAAGTTATCCTCTAACAATATGATTTTTATCCCACCCCGAATATGCCTATGAAGCCATATTAGTTTATTTTTCATGTAGGAAACCAAGTTTTGGAACCATTTTGAATGCAATTTTTACCCTGCTTACAATGTCTTGTATGTGCCATATTTACTCTCAATTGAAAGATAAGTTACAATACTACGCCTCTAATCTTATAAATTATGAAAATTTTCAGATTAAACACTAGAAACCCCTCTCGAATATGCCGATCAAACCATTTTAGCATTTTCTTCATGCACAAAACAAGCTTTGGAACCATTTTCAACGTGATTTTTAACCAACTTACAATATCTCGTATGTTTCGATATTGGCCTCAACTGAAAGATAAATTCCAATATTACACCTGTAATCTTATAAATTACAAAAAAAAATGAGATTAAATACCCGAAAATACCACTCGAACATGCCTATAAGAACTTGTGAATTGGGCTGGCGAACAACATACCTCGTGTTTTTCAATATGCGAGGTACGTGGAATACCGCTCGTAATAAATTCCATCGCGACAATTCGATTCTCGTAAACGTAGATCAACGTGAGGTCATTAATACCAATATTAATTAGCATTATACGAAAAGTGCATCCACGTGGACGTATCTCGTGCCTTGTAAGACGCGTGACATTACCACACGTTTTGTAGGACGCGGAGTAGTTCTACGTGGACAGCTGAAGGTTATTTTTTCTAACAAATAGAAGAGGGTTGCTGTTAAAAAATTAATTAATTGGAGTTTTTTTTTAATTTAATAACGCCCAACGCGTTCGACTTTCCTTAAAAAGAGATTTAAAATATGTATCAATTGAGTGGAATACTCATTGCCACACGTATGAACCCTAAAATGATTTTAAAACCAATATTTCTCAAAAATAAGATAACGGTTCAAACTCATAAAAAACAATATCAAACTAATTAATACGTTAACGACCGATTGCTCAACAAATGATTTTTTTTATCTTTTTGAAGAAAAATTGAAAGTTCACTCAACAAATTAATAACAATAATAATGCTGATTTTAATTTATAAGCATTGGTTATAATAATAAGATGTATTATAAATTAAAGAAAAAATTAGTTTAAAATTTTAAAAATAATATTATTAAAAATAATTTCCAATATATATATATATATATATATATATATTACTTCATTTGTTTAAGATTTTAGAATTTTCCTCAAAACCTTGGTATTTATGATAATCATTTGAGTTTTAACTATATTATATTCGAATTAGATAAAAATAAAACTTGTAAGACTCAATTTTGATACCTTAATTTTAATCCCACTCTTATTTTGTATTTGAGATTGTTATTTGAATCCTGTTATGGTCCGGTCCGTGTTGGATGTGTGCACATATGTATAATATTATCATAATTTATGACATTAAATTAAGTGACCAATTATATTATATGTATCATATGTATTAAAGTATCATGGCATAATTTGTATTTATAATTTAGTGAGAGACGAAATTATAAATACTTAAAAGATTGACATAATACTCAAATATAAAGAGGTAGTGGTCCTAAAGAAATATGTTAGCTTGTATCACTTTTATCTTGTTAAAAAACATATCTTATTGAAATATCTCAACCAAAGAAATACCGAAGGATTTCAACATATCAATTAATTTAGACATGCTTTTGCGTTTACTATTTAATTATTAATGATTTGACATGATTAAATCTGGATTGTTTTCATATTTATTATGATTTAATTTTAATAGTCTGAAAAACTCAAGATGCGATTTCTTGGTGGAAAAAAATAAAAATAGACTCGAATTTCATACGCCTTATAATACATGTATGTTTATTGTGCATCTCTTACAATCTCCGTTGTATTTTATCATCGACCTATTAATTTTTTTCTCTTATATCCAAAATATTACCGAAATAATTTTTTATATAAAATCTATACGTTTATTTCTTCTTTTATTGTTATAACATCAACTTTAAATATATAATATCTTATTCGATCAAACCAGAATTTTTATTTTTGTGGTGTGGGTTCATTCTATATTGATAAAATTGAAAGATAATTATACAAGGACCAAGCTATAAAATTATGGTGCACTTTGCACTTAGTAACTCATCTTTCACTTTCTTTATATCTTGGTCATCAAGCTTTCAAAATTTTGGTTTTGTCACTTAATTTCTGAATTTCATTTTATCACTTGATTGAGTGTCTAATGCCATTAATTCTTTTTGGCTATATTTATGCAAAAGCTAATGAATCTTTAGACTTAAACTCTTATTTTTCGGACTTCCTTTTATTTATTAGGGTTGTAATATTTGTTTTTAAACTTGAAAAACGAGGAGATAAAAAGGATGAGAAAAATAATATACCTCGATTCTACGATGACCAGACGTTGGAGATTGTGAGTTGAACCCATAAAAGATCGAAAGTTTGATTTGAGTTTTGTCGAGTAGAGTGATAATTCTTTTTATTAGGGTAAATATAACAGATTATATAAATTTGAACGAGATGCCTAAAGTCAAATTTTATCACACACGACATTAATGTAAAATAATATATACATATATACACATAAAGAGTCAACATTGTATTTTGAGATTAGGCTGTTGATATCTCCGTTGGCCGCCCATGGTCGGCCGCCATGTGGACCGGCAGAAGGTGGCCAAATTGATTTAGTTAATTTATGTGCTATGCATGGTTGAAGGTTTTGTATTCTTTTCACGAGATTTCACACATGATGTACCGACAAGGGTTAATTAGTTGAATTCATGAATGATTCATGCCAATTTCATGTGAATTTCATTATTTGTAGTTAGGAATATTTCTTTTTCATTTTATTAACATTTTAATAATTTAGTAGTTAAATTTATTAATATAACTTTATTTATAATGCACACATCAACAATGAATAAAAAATAAATGATTTTATTTTTTAATAAAATGTATAAATTTAATTTTATTTATTTATAATAGAGGGCTTAAAATGCAATCTCTGATATGGTATAAAGACTATTATAAAGTACAATGGTACAAAAATTAGATTTGTCACACCACCACGTGAGCGGAAGAAATAATATTATTTTATAAAATTCAATTAATAATAATTACAGATACAGTGAATATATATATATATATATATTATTTAACATGAGTTTGATAATTGGATTTTTTTTTTCAATTTCGTATAAAAGTATAAAAAGACAGCAATATCATAATTTGATTTAATATTTAATATTTTTTATTTTAATGAGTTAAATTTTTATCAAACCTATTGTTTGTTTTAAATCTACTTTTTAATCAGATTATAAAAAGACAGTAATATCATAGTTTGATAATTTGATTTACTAATTTAAGTTTAAATTTGATCAATTTAAAAAATTGAATTTTCAATTAACGTCTTTTTTATATTTATCCGAATAATTTGGTTATTTTATAATTTAATTATTAATTCTGTTATTTATCAAACCTATTGCTTGTTTTAAATCTACTTTTTAATCAGATTTAAACTACAGAATCTTAAAGCACTTTATAATACCTATGAAATTTAATTCTTCCTTTTTGGAAATAATATTTTCTTTTTACAAATTAATTCTTTAGCTCTATACGATTTTATTATTTCATTGGGTTCTTATTAATTTTGACTAAATTTGAATCAAAATTCATTTAACACTATAAAATAACTATACAACTTCAATTTTTTAATAACAATAATTTTAATTTAATCTATTATATTTATATTTTATTCAATTTGGTCCATCAACTGCATTATTTTATTAATTGTTTTTTCATATAAATTTCTTTTACTCCTTTAAACTTTTGTAATACTTATCAACTCAATCAATTCAAAATTGTTTGATCAAACTCAATCAATTACGAACCTTTATTAAACATAAAACTTATTCGTACGTTAAATGTATCTTCAATACATACTACATGCGTTTTTTTTGTTTTTTTTAACAAAGTTCGTACAATTTTTTTCTATTTTGGTAATTCACAATAGATAATCATCTAAAATAAAGTAATGAATTTTTACTGTAGATATTATAAGATCAAATCTATAATCATATATTAAAACATAAATTAAATTTAAAAATAGAATTCCAACCATTAATTTAATGGATGAAATCTTAGATTTTTTCAGCAAGAGTACAAGACCATTGCTTTAGATTTTGACATTATGGATAGAATATATTAAATTAGAAGGATTATCTCATAATGATCTTCATAATATTTTAATTAATTAACCAATAAGTAAATTAAATAATAATAATACTTTTAAAAAAACAAAAACAAAAAAAATCCCCTCTCAATATAAAAAAACTGTAATAAAAATAAACAAAATGCGTACCCCTACCCGAAAGGGAAAGGGAAAGGGAAAGGGAAAGGGCAAGTGTTAACTATGCTACCTTCACTGTTAACACGTTCCTATCTTCTCCTTTATTTATTTTTATTGTTTCATCTTCCTTTTCCCTTTTACTTCTCTTCTTTGTCTCCAAGCTCTCTCTCTTGAGATCAAGTTCTATTTCATTTTCTCTCCATTTTTCTATTTCATTTTTTCCTTCAAAATTTGAAATCTTTTCACCCTTATTTAACCCATCTTTATCCAATGCAGTCTTGTTGATGTTTTCTTGTATCATCAACCGTTACCGAGAGCTGAAAAACCCATCTTTTTGAAGTTTGTTTTGGTTTTGTTTTCTTGAAGAAACCTCGTGAATTTCTGTAAATTTTCCGGGAAAGAAGCGTTGGTTTTAAGAGAAGAAAACAAGGGAGAAAAAGAAAACCATGTTGGATCTTAACCTTGAGATGGTCTCAAGCGAGTCATCCTGTGACGAGAACATCATCATCATCAACAACAACAACAAGAAGAAGAATTTAACTCTAATAGAAGATTCGGGTTCTTCAAAATCTTCAATCATCAACGACGAAGATGTTCCGTTATCCAATGCAAAAGATGAGGATTCCTCCAACGAAGCTTCACCGGCATTCGTTTTCGATATCTTAAAGAAGGAAAAGGACGACGTCACCATTGCTAAAACGGTCCAAAACCCTTCGCCGGACTTCGTTACTCGACAGGTTTTTCCGGTCACCGGAGTAAAAACGGGTCTAGAGTTGGAGTTCGGAACAAAAGATTTAGCTAGTAGACCCCAATGGTTGAATTTATCTTATGTTGAGTCCACCGGTGAGGAGAAGCTGACGACTGCTCCGATAAAGCCACCACCGAGGAAGAACCGGAGAGGGCCGAGGTCCCGGAGCTCACAGTACCGTGGCGTCACATTTTATCGGAGAACTGGCCGGTGGGAATCACATATATGGTAATATTCATTCATATACAAATTATCTAATGTTTTTAGCTATTTTTATGTTTTAGTAATATTCAAATGTAAAATTATTCTAATTTTTCTTGTTTCTTTGTTAATAGGGATTGCGGGAAGCAATTATATTTAGGTAATTTGAATGATTCATTTTTGTTGAGAAATTGAAGATGTTGTGAATAATTTCATTGATTTTGGATTCTGTGTTGCAGGAGGATTTGACACTGCCCATGATGCTGCCAGGTGGGAGATTCTTTGCTGATAAGTTGTTATATGTATCATATCTGGTTAAAATTTTAATTCAGGTCTTATTTTTAATAAATTTGATATTATTTAGAGCATACGATCGAGCTGCGATCAAGTTCCGGGGAGTCGATGCCGATATCAACTTCGTTTTGAGTGATTACGTGGAAGACATGAAACAGGTAGAAGACATAGCATGATCTCTGCAACTTTTTTTATGAATCTGTTGCTTGATTTTGCTTGTAAATTGTATTGATCTGCAGATGAAGCACATGAGTAAAGGGGAATTCGTGCATTCTCTCCGTCGACGAAGCAACGGATTCTCGAGGGGGAGCTCCAAGTACAGAGGGGTAGCTTTGCATAAATGCGGTCAATGGGAAGCTCGAATGGGACAATTCCTCGGAAAGAAGTGAGAATCCGATTCACCATAGCTTTCTTCCGTTTGATCTTTTGGTTTTAATTGTATGTCTGTCGATAGATGATCGAGATTAAGCTTTTAGTTGCGAACTTATCGTGTCGTGGTAAGGAGGGAAAAGATTGTATAGGGTGTGAAATCTATGATCCTTGCTTGCAGGTATATGGATCTTGGATTATTCGACTCCGAAGTAGAAGCTGCAAGGTCTTTTATGATCATAGTTTTATGTTTCAAGACTTTGATTTGATGAAATATGGATGTGATTGTCATTGTTTTCGGTTTTCGGTTTTCGATTTCAGGGCTTATGATATGGCTGCCATGAAATGTAATGGAAGTGAAGCTGTGACCAACTTTGAGCCAAGTACTTATGAAGGGGAGACTACAAACAGTGGAGGTATTTACAGAGTTTCGAGTCTGTTATTGTTATTTATCGTTTTAAAACGAGTTCATGGTCGTTTTGATGTTGAATTTTCCGGTATGCAGCCAATTGTCATCACAATCTCGATTTGAGCCTCGGGATTTCGGCACCTTCTGTTGCAAGAAACGGGAGCCATGCTGCAGGGGGTTTCCATTTTCGTAGCGGTGCTGGCATGGTAGAGAGGCTGTCGTTTGAGTGTTCTGCTTCTGCATATGTGGGAGAACAACCTCAACACAATCTAATATTTATATCTAAGCACCCTCCGGTACTGTCCGGTGTTTACCCCAGTGCTCTTTTACCATACAACGAGGTACTTCTGTCCGTTTGATTGGCTTCTCGCCCGTTGTTTATAATTGTAGGAGGTAATGATTGAATGATGTGATGATATGACAGGGAAGGGCAATGCAGAAGAGAGCTGAAGCTGTTCCGTTCTCGAACTGGGGATGGCAAATGCAAGGGGATGGTAAAACTAACCCAACCCCGGCGTTTAGTATAGCAGCATCATCAGGATTCTCTTCGTCCACCGGCGTTGCTTCACCGACTACTCTCCCTTTTAACGATTCTGGCCGGAACCTTTGCCTTGCAACACCGGCTACGTCGACAAACAACACTTCTCATCACTACAATTACAGAAGCTGAAATCAGCACGACGTTTTTGAAACTTTCCGTAATGCTCATTGTATAAGTTTGACGAGTGAAAGCTGTAACAATCGTAGTAAATCCATGGAGTTTGCATTTGCTTCAAGTGTGTAAAAACAACAAGAATACATTGCATTTGCTGATGCTGCAAAACTTAAAAGCTTTCTTTCATAACATTTTCGTGGTCTCGATGTTATGAGATGTTGCGGAAGTCGAATAACATCACGAGGTTAGCCGATTCGGATTAGTCCGGTGAGGGCATCTTCACCAGCCAGAGAATGAGCATAACATCGAGAATGAGATGCATGCATTTCTAATGCTATTTCTTTCGCACAATAACAGCATGATCTGCTCTCCATGTGCTTACTAATGTTTTTACAGAGCTGGAATTCGGATTAAATATCGTAAAAATTTAAATTATTAAATTTTAAATATACAAAAGACTTTTAATGCAATTGTGCAACGATGCGTATTTGTCATTTCTCTACCGTCAAAGTTGCTAAGGAAAACCTTTTTAATACACATTTGACTAAGACAAGATCTTAAATTATTTTATTTTAGTTCTTATTATCATTTTTAATGAGTATTCAAACTACATCTTCATTATTATCACTCTGTGTTAAAGCATTAATAGTTGGATGGCACGACAGGTTAGAGCTAATTGTGTTGATGTGGAAGCCGAATAATTAGAATTTTGAGTAAACTATACGTTTAATACTCCAACTATCATGTTTGTTCTATTTTGGTCATTTAATTATTTTTTTGTTTTAAAATCATATCTAACGTTATGTTTTGGTTTCATTTTGGCCACTCAACGTTAAAAGATTAATGATAATGTTAATGTGTCACCATAAGATCATGTCACATCATTATTAGAAAAATTTAAAATGTCATGTTAGTACATATGCTAACTTTTTAACGGTGAGTAATCAAAATGAAGCAAAAACGTAATATTACGTATGATTCTAATAAAAAAGTAATAGTTAGATGATCAAAATCGAATAAATCCCTATATTTTATTCTATTTCATCACTTTTTATCCATTTTCCATCATTGTAAAACATCGTTATTCTCTAATGTCTTTTGCGACTACCTTAAATATTGATGATCTCGTTTCATCGTCCCATATATCTTTAAAATTCATAAAATTAACTATGCTAATACTATTCAATACCAAAAACCAAAATATAAAAAATCGAGAAAAGGAAACTGAAACAGAAATTAAAATGGAGCTGGTCGACAAATTTCTTCCCACAAATCTTCTCTAGCGATTGTCATTCTATAACCGAGTTGGTCGACGGAAAGCAATCGGAATTCAGTCTCGCCGGTTTTTATGACAGCTCATCGTCCACCTTCTCGCATTTGATCAACCCAAAGCCTTCATTGTGAGAGATTTCAGGGCTATCCTCTTTCCAAAATGGAAAGATGAAGTTCGGTATGATTCCACAGCGGAAACTTTCATATCACTGCACAATACTTGTTGCATTTTGGGTGTATGATATGAGGAGTTGGGCGAATAACAGTAAGTTGATGAAGAAGAAAGTGAAGAAGGAGATTGAAGGGGTTGAAATGAAGGGTTGATGATGCATTTTTTTGAAGTTGTGAAACGGTATGGGAGAAGATGTACACAAATTAGAAAACTATATAATCATTCTAAGTTTAAATTGAAAATTATGTAAAGCAAAAAAGAAAATTAGCTATGGTGGAATTTTTATAAACAATGCGTTTATGTTATAGATTAAGAAGAAGAAGCAAAAAGGAAAATTAGCTTTATTAGAATTTTTATAAACATTGTGTTTATGTTAAGAAGAAGAAGAAGTGGGTGTTTTTTTATTTTTTTTATTTGTAACACGTGAGTTTTTTTTTAATTGTAAACTTAGACTTTTGTTAATGAGTTAACGGACGAGTGACTTAAATTAAACGGACCGATAACGTAAGAGATCAAACATACTTAATTAAAAACCAAGTGACTAAAGTCGGTCAAACCGAAAACAAAGGGGACTACTGACATAATTTACCAAAAAATATCTACTATTTCTTTGGTTTTTTATTTGAGGGGTTTGTTCAAAAATCCAAATTAACGGTGAGAATCACTCTTTTGAGAAGACGAACAACATAACTCGAAAACTAACCTCACTAAGTATTTGTTGGAAGAGACTGGAGCATTAGAATGTTAAAGATTTAGATGGATTTTTATAAATAAAAAATGAGCGAGTTTTGTGAAGAATCATTTCAATTAGAAGAAAAAAGAGTGAAATATAAACATTTTGATACTGATATTATCATGAATGAAAATTAGCAACGGACAAAATAATGAGAAAGAAATAGTCTCATCAACACATCAATAACGATTTAAAGAACCAATAACAAAGACAATATCAAAAGTTCAATGCTAAAATTAGAATGTTTAAAATCAACATACAAATTAAAATTCTCCGACTAATAATTTACCCTTATTTAAATATGTTCCAACAAAATATAGTTTTTTTTAATTATAAGATATTTTAAAGTATATAATATATGTGTGTGTATGTGTTAACTTCCTAAAAAGGCTACTTTTAAAGCCTTTTTCACTTAAGTTATTGTTTGTTTAAAAGCTTATTTTAGTCATTTTAGGATCATGTAGTTGCATATAGTTGCATTTGTGGTGGTTGTACTATTTTATTTCTCAATGGTGCTGTTTGAGGGAAAGGTGCAGTTTGTCTATGGTGTGCAGGGAATAGCAAGGAAAAGGATTCTTTGGGAAGTAATGCCGCGGCATCACACGTTGCTAAAGCAGATTGAAATGCCTTGGCATTTTTGGCGCAGAAAAAGACAAAAAGATATTTCTGCATAAGGATAGCTGGCATTGGACAGCTGTCCCTGCACGTGAAGGACTGCTGTAACCGCCTGCCAGAGCTGCCAATGTACCACTGCCATTTGGAGGATAAGGTTCATGCACAAAATGTGATCCTAGGGGTATGAGGGGTATTTTGCACCCAACAAACTCATCATTACCCCTAGATATTTTATTTATTATATATGACACGCATGGGAGAGAGAGGAGGAGAGAGTGAGCACACGCATAGAGCAGAAAAATCAGATTTTTATTTTCTCTTTTTCCTTTCTTCTTCCTTGGAATATTCCTCCATTGATAAAGCTCCAAGGAGTGGCAAGCTAGGCGCCGAAAGGAGCTAGCGAGCTAGGTGGTTCATGGTGGCCGAGAGGAGACCTCCGGTGGCGCGTCGAAGGCTTCTTCTCATTTCCCTTTTTGCTGCTATTTCTTTATATTATTTTGTGGGTTGTTGGAACGAATTTTCATGACTTTGTGTTTGGATATTTCGAACCCCACCATGAACTAACTTATTTGGTGGTGGTTGGTTGAATGGTTGTTTAAACTTTATTTTTAATGGTATATTTAAGTTTATTTTGGTTCTTTATTTGCTTTGCTTATGAATGCTTCACCATCTAGGCTTGTAAGAGGCATGGAAATGTCCATCTCTTAGATGAAGGTTAGGTATTCGGAAGAATCCTAAACTAAAAATACTTGTAAGTATTCAGAAGAAACGCAAGATAAGATCCTCATAAGCAATGGGTTATGGTATTTTCAAGGGGTTTTGAACCGGCCTAGGAATATTATAACTTAATCCCTTAGATCTCGGAAGAGACTAGGATAGGATTTCAACGACTAAAAAGGGTGTCTTCATCAATAGGGTAGGCTGCCCAACATCGTTGAGTGAGAGCAGATGCCTTGGCATCCTATTCTGTTAGGTTCTTTTGAACACCTTAGGAAAGCCCTGTCGAGTAAGTAAAGACAAGATAGCTTAGATATACTTGAGAAATAAGTTTAGCAACCTTAGACCAATCCTTACCATTCATTTCATTGGAAGCTTGTCACGTGAGGATTATTTTCTTCTTATTTTACTTATCTTTTTAGTTACTGTTTTTACCAATTCTCATTGCCTCAACATTTCACCATACTCAACATTAAACATCCATCATTGCCACTGCATTTTCATTTGCTACACCATCACACCATCAATCCGCATCCACCAGCATACACATATCCATTGCTGTGACATTTGTATATATCAAGACTAACTATACTTAGATAATTTAGTGCATTGCTTTGGTTAGACTTTTGTGATTTCACCCAATCCCTGTGGAGACGATACTCAGTCATCATTATATTACTTGAGCGATTGTGTATACTTGCACATTATTTGCGTATATTTTATAGTACTCACAACACACGAACAAGTTTTTGGCGCCGTTGCCGGGGATTGGCAGCCTGAAGTTATTTAGTTTTGCCAGAGCATTTTATTTTGTTTTGTATTTTTATTTTTGTATAGTTTACTTGATATTTTTTGTTTTATTTTTCAGGTTTATTTAGTGTATGCCTAGAAGAAATTCTGAAGAGCCTTTGGAACCAATAGAACCTGAGATTGAAAGACTCTTTAGAAGAAGAAGACGTGCTCAAAGAAATATGTATCAGATTGGAAACCAAGGCATTGGTCAAGATGACGGAAATCAGAATGCCGAGGTATTAAACAATGCTGAACCTGCTATCAGGCCTCGTGTTATTCGAGATCATTTAAATCCGATGTTGGATGATCTGAATCCTGGGATTGTGGCACCCGAAATTCAAGCTGCACATTTCGATCTGAAACCAGTCATGTTCAACATGTTGAATTCCATTGGGCAGTTTGGGGGTATGCCAACTGAAGATGCCAGGCAGCACATTCGCAATTTTCTGGAAGTTTGTGATTCTTTCCGCCAAGAAGGAGTGCATGAGGATTTTCTGAAATTAAAGCTTTTTCCGTATTCATTGCGTGACCGAGCAAGGGCTTGGTTGAGTGGTGTACCAGCTGGTTCGATGGAATCATGGGCCGATCTTTGCAAGAGCTTCTTATTGAAGTACAACCCACCGAATATGAATACGCAGCTAAGGAATGAAATATCATCTTTTCGCCAGGGCGACGACGAATCCATGTATGAGTGTTGGGATCGTTACAAGAGTTTGCTTCGAAAGTGTTTAAATCATGGTTTTCATGATTGGACTCAAGTAGTCATGTTCTATAATGG